TAAAACTAATCAAGGGCATCCTAACTTTTGCTCATGGACCGACGTCCTCACCCGTGTTCGTGGTCCCCCATGACCACAAGGGGGTGATGTTAGTTCACTCGCATGACCTCCCGTCCGCAGGACACAAGAGAGATAACGCCACGCTGAAAGCATTAAAACAAGTTGCTTATTGGCCTGGAATGAAAAAGGATGTCAAGGACTACATTAAAGGGTGCCTGGTCTGTGGCCAGTTTCAGCCATCCAGACCACTCCACAGAGCACCACTGCAAAGTAGAGGCATTGCATTCCCATGGTCCGACCTCCAGATCGACTGGGTTGGACCACTTACTAAGAGCACTAGAGGAAATAAATATTTTCTCACGGTAACTTGCACATTTACCAAATTGGTAGAATGCCTACCAGCTCCTAACGACACAGCACAAACAACTGCTATGTTACTAATGAATCATGTATTTTCAAGGTTTGGACTTCCCCTCAGGGTGAACTCAGACCAAGGTACACACTTCACAGCTGAAGTGATGAAAGAACTATGGAAGATGCTAGGCATCAAAGTCAACTTCCATGTTTGCTACCACCCACAAGCCTCAGGCCAAGTGGAGAGAGCAAACAGAACTGTGGTAAGTATTTTGAAGAAATACGTAGCCGCAAACCACAAGGACTGGGACGTGAAACTCCCTCTGGTCTTCATGGCCATAAGGGCCACTCCACACACATCGACTGGCATCTCTCCCTTCGAGATGATGACGGGTCGACAAATGACTCTCCCTCTACACCTGTTATGCCAACCAGGCGATGCCGCCATGGCAACAGCCTACACCACACAACAATACATGAATGACTTGGAAAAACACCTTAAAAACACCTTTGCTTTTAACCAGAGAAACATGGAAAAATCTGCTAAAGGACGAAAGGCGTACTATGACCAAAAGGCCTCTCACGAGGAACTCCAAGTGGGAGATAGAGTCTGGTACTACACGTTCGCCCCCACAACCGGGAAAGGAGAGTCCGGAACCGGAACTCTCGCCTGCAAACTGATGCCCAGGTGGACTGGACCCCACCTGATAACAGACAAACTGTCTCCAGTTTTCTACCAGATCAAAATCAGCAAAGGCCAAAAAGAGCCAATTGTTAAACGGGTACATCGAAACCAGGTCAAACTACACAAGGCGTTCAATAACTCCACAGAAGACAAAGATCTCACAAACTCAGACCTCGTGGGAAAAAGGGTCATCCAAGCAGAAACTAAATAAGTCTAAGCTTAATTAAGTGTTAAGATAACAACTCAGACGCGATAACGTGATCGAATCTGACAATCAGAGTGAGTGACGCAGTGAAACGTTGCTTTCTAGTTGCTACTTTTGTCGATGTTGAAACGTTGTTTTCTAGTTGCTTGGTCACTACTGTTGCCGATATTGAGACATTGTTTATTTGGTTTTGGTATTGTTTCTGAACACCCCCAGCAAGAATGAATTTTGTGTGTACTTTAGTTAGAGACTATGAGGACTTTAACTTTGCCAACATGCAGTTCATTTGTTAAACTTCAATCTTTGAGGAGTCAATGTAGATTAATGCTACCTTAAGTACCATAACCTACATTGGTCTCACGACGCTAATCCTTAAAATGAGTCTCGCCATAGACTCCAAAAACATTTAGGGGGAAAACCAAAAAACCAAAACTCAAGTCGTTCTTCTAAAGGGACAACAGACAATTGAACCAAACTATATTTTGCCATGTAAATCTAACTTAAACCAAGTGTAGTGAACTCGGCCTCCGACCAAAACCTGCCTCTGAAGACCTTCATGGGACAGGAACTGTTATTTCATTGATTTGAATCCAGAAATACAAATTAGCTCATCCAGAGACTGTCTAATTGTATCCTGAAGTAATCAATTGAAAGAACACTCTTCTTTTTATATTATCATTACTATTTTACAATATCTTGATAATCAAAGTGTGTTTAGTTCATACCATTTCTAAATGTTGAAGTGAACCACTCATTTTAAATCAACTGTGAAACAGTATTAATGATTTTTGCACCTCATTTAAATTAGAAATCAAGTTAAATGTCTATTTACAAAGTAATTATGCATTTTGATTTTCTGTCTAAAGGAGAAGTAGTGATGTCGGTCAAAAGTCAGAGACAGTCAGAAAACAAGTTGTTAGAACGGGCTGTATTGTTTTTAAACCTAGCAGACAGTAAATAAGAGCAACTGGCACCTGCAAAGTTTCTCACATCTTCAAAACATTTCTCTGTCTGTACTAAAAGGTCCTAAAAAAATTTTCTGTCCTCTTGACTTGTAATAACCCACTGACATCACTAGAACCACCCCCTGTTGGTTGTTTCAACCAATCAGGAAGTCCTGAGTGACCGGAAGTGAGAACTCTTTAAAAGTCCACACTTCCTGGAACTACTCAGTCGAGTTGGAGTCAGTCAGTCGAGTCTTCTGAGTCTAACCAGTCTAGTCTTCCTAGTCTTACAGTTTCATGAGTCTTTCTTGGGACTATGGAGTCTTCTACTTCTGAGTGGAATCTCTGACTGAGTTTTACTGAGAGTTCCTAAGGAACTTTCAAATTTAATCAATAGCTGATGGATTTGACTGTGAGAAGAGGGTCCGTCCATCCCAGCGGAGTCACAGCGCCTCGCTGTGAACTCACCCGGGCGTAACGCCCTACAATTTTGAAGGAAGCTTGTTCTGTTGAACGGAGTAAACCACATGACTTCTGACGATGGCCAGCTGCTCTTACCAGAGACGCTGAAAGGTAGCGTGCATAGAGACATCTAGACCCGAGCTGATCCATCATCTGCAAAGATAAAGAGACGTCACGAGTTGTCGCGCACCAAGTGGACCGGGGGTTTGAGCTGGTGTTGAAAGAAGCGTGCTAAATTCTGGTCAACAAACATACATCTTCCCTCATCCATCTTCCTTTTAAATTTATCTTCATTCCTTCCTTTACACTCTTCTATTTTGCCAGTAATCTAGATGCCTTCAGAAATGTCTTGTTGTCTTATTAGTAAAGCGTGCCAAGTTTTATTAATCATAACCAGATCAGCTAATCACGTGTACATGTTTTGATGTTAAATTTTGATTCTGATAAATAAATGACCACATTTATTCTGATGGGTCAAAGGAAATTAACGTCTCATGTCACTGATTTAAACACAATCCTCACAGTACCTCGTCACATGGCAGAAATTTAACTCAAAAAAGAGAGAACTTGTTATATTTAAATAATTAGTAGTGGAAGGTCAGAAAGCTGACCTTGACACCACTACACAAGTTAGGAATGGAAGAATAGTTTGGAATGCCCTTCTATAGGTATAAATCCCTATATATAATTTTGTCAGCATGAACCACCCTTTAACTGGTACCTGTAGCTGATCTGCACCATGATAGCTTACACACCAGGTGCATATAGGTCAAGGTCTTATGGAAAATCCCACTCATAAGCCCAACTAAAACCACATAAATGCATGAACACATAAGGACCAGAATGGCATCCACTGGGAACCACCAGCAGCAACCTTCGCTGAAGGGACCTACAGCTACAACGTGGGTCTCCAAACTCCATCCAGTGGTCGCCTCTTCAGTTCAATCGAGGGAACCCATCTACATGCTGATCAATCAACCCCTCCAATCGTTGTGGATTTACCATTGTGGATTATATGACTTTTTCCAATGGATTACAGACTTTGTTTCCAAGTGGTTAAAGCTTTGCTGCAATGGAATTACCGACAACATTATGGAATTACCAACAACATAATGGAATTACCAACAACATTGTGGAATTACCTAAACCGTTGTGGGATTACCTTCTTTGACTTTTGTTTTCCTCTTGCTGGTTTACATCAAGATCAAGGACAAACGGAGGCGTAAGTTCATGTTGGAATTCATCCCCATGGACAGGCGATGATTTCCAAAGGGGGGACTGTAGTGAACTAGGCCTCCGACCAAAACCTGTCTCTGAAGACCTTCATGGGACAGGAACTGTTATTTCATTGATTTGAATCCAGAAATACAAATTAGCTCATCCAGAGACTTTCTAATTGTGTCCTGAAGTAATCAATTGAAAGAATACTCTTCTTTTTTATTATCATTACTATTTTACAATATCTTGATAATCAAAAGTGTGTTTAGTTCATATAATTTCTAATGTTGAAGTGAACCACTCATTTTAACTTTTCAGACTTTTCAGATTCTAATTTTCTTTCTACTTCATAGTCAAGCTCTCCCACCACGCTCCCTGAAGTCAGCGGACCAGTTGCTCTTCACAGTTCCAGGAACTCGTCTTAAGCGCAGAGGTGACAGGGCCTTCTCTGTAGCAGGACCAAGACTCTGGAACGAGTTACCTCTGCTTGTCAGACAGGCCCCCTCCCTCTCGGTTTTCAAGTCCCGTTTAAAAACTCACTACTATTCAGTATCTTTCAACACCAGATGATCTGTGTTTTGATCCTGTATGCTCCACACTGGTTTGTCGTCATTATCTGCATCGTTTTTTGTCTATATTCTGATTTACCTCATTTTGTATTTTGCTTTGTGTGTTACCTGTTGTTTTGTCTGTACAGCACTTTGGTTGGCCTTGTAGCTGTTTTAAGTGCTTTATAAATAAAGTGGTATAGTATGGTATGGTACTTTGTTGCTCTGTCATATAAAATCTCAGTGAGATATTCAGGTTTGTTGGTGTGACAAGACAAAATATGGGAACGTTTAAAGTGGATGAAGACTTTTTCATGGCAGTGTGTATATATTCTTTACTTCATGTCGACAGACCATGTACCATCATGTACTCATTATATGAACAGAACCGACATATGTGATGATTTGCTGTTGACATAAACACAAACTTGAAAATAGCCTCAATTATCTGTTTACCTCTGTGCTGGTTCTGTTTACTGACATGGTCCTGTCCCCATCCAGGATATCAGCAGGTCCTAATTACTCTGTGTGTGTGTGTGTGTGTGTGTGCGTATGTGCGTGTGCATGTGCGTGTGTGTGTGTAGCTTTCTGTGTCGAGTCGTGGCCGTGGATGAACAGAACAGAGTGGCGGTCTTCTCCCTGCCTGCTGACACACAGATCCAGCTCACATCTGAGCAGGCTAGCTTCTTCCTGGTAAGAGTTGCACCCCTGTCACATGATCAAACTGAACAGCTCTTTATTTTTGCAACGGCTCGAGCAGAAATCCCCGTGGGGGCCAGGTGGGATTGGGACCCACAGTCACATTTTTTGGAAAACAAAGATTATCCCACCCAATCATTTGAGGAAAGTATAGTTTGAAGCGATAAAGTGAAAAGGAAGCACGCACCATTTATGTAAGTGAAAGGATGAATTGATACCTCTCAAAAATGACGTCCCCCGCCCCTCTTCCCATAGCGTAGTGGCAAGCATTTCTGCCTTCCACCTGGTATACTGTGGTTCAGTCCTTAGTGAGAGCTTTTAATATTATTATTATTTTACTCAAACCTGGATATTTAATATTTTGTAATGTTCTCTAATGTTTAAACGGGATCTTTGGAACAATAGATCTTGTTTCATTTCAGTAACTCATAATTTTTTTTTAATTTTTTCATTTACCCTTTATTTATCCAGGTAGTCTCATTGAGTCACGAGAACTCATTTTCAAGAGAGACCTGTTTAGGAGCAGGTGGTGGGGGTTAAGGGCCTTGCTCAGGGACCCAGGGTGGGGCAAATGAGGGTGGAGGCAGGTGTGGGTGTTTCACCTTTTCCACCCACATTTTGATGTTGACGGTACCGGGAGTTGAACCTGTGACTTTCCGATCACAGGCCCATCTTCTAACCTCGCGCCACCACTCCCCAATTTATATCAGTGATCCTCACTTTTTTTTTTTTTTTTTTCAAAAGAGCCATGTTGACAGATCAAAGTCAAGGGGAGAGCTGCGACGTCACCCCAAGTCACTCAAATAAAAGAAAAGAAAAAAGGAAACAACCCACCTATGAACAAAGAAACACAGCCAGCACATTATCTGTTCAAACAAAATGTACATTAGTCCTGAGATGAGAAGCTGTGGTGCATGTCCTTGACTTTCTTCATGTTGTATTTGTAATTTGTTGTTGCAGCCACAGTGAGACGTTCAAGATGGGCATGGGTCAGTGGGTTTCTCTGTTTTTGTTTGATAGTGTTCTTGGTTGAAAATGTTGACTGTGTAAACATTTCAGCTTTTATCTGTTACCTCAGTCTTTTGTATTGAACTCTTTTTGAATTACCTCAGTCCCATGAAGAAAACACAAGTGAACAATAACAATGAAAACCAAAGTCCATGGTCAGCAATGAATATGCCGTAATATGTGTACAGATGAAGATGCCCCCTTCACATTTCTGCCTGCC